CATGGTACATCATGTCACAAATAGATATGTGCATTTGTTTCATGATCTGCTTAACAATAGTGGAATGATGGCCATTTTAAGGCCGAAAATGCATCAAAATCACATATTTTCACAATTCCAGAACCGGATCTCAGTCATGCATGGATGGATTTTGTTCAGATTTAGCACAATGTGTTGTACATATGCAGGTGCATTTCGGTCGTGATCTGCTTTGAATGTATATGTCACTCAAATATGAACGGAACGGGGACGTGTCATTGACAATGACTTGTCATTTGAGGGCATTCTTGAAGATGAAGTCACTGTGACTCCCTAGGACCTCAGTGAAAGTCAATTTGACTTCCCAAGATCCAAACATAAGTAAATGTGACTCCCTAGGACCTCAGTGAAAGTCAATTTGACTTCCTGAGTCCCAAACATAAATTAATGTGACTCCCTAGGACCTCAGTGAATGTCAATTTGACTTCCCAAGACCCCAATATAAGTTAATGTAACTCCCTGGGACCTTAGTGAAAGTCAATTTGACTTCTTAAGACCCAAACACAAGTTAAAGAACTCCCTAGGACCTCAGTGAAAGTCAATTTGACTTCCTAAGACCCAAACGTACATTTGTTAGTTGATGTGACTCCCTAGGACCTCAGTGAAAGTCAATTTGACTCCCTAAGACCCCAACATAAGTTAGTGTGACTTGCTAGGCTGAATGAAGGTTCACTTCTATTTATTTTTTACTTCTAGCCGTTTACTGTTAATTTGCCGATCAATATGATATGTATATATTCATCAGTTTCTCTCTTCTCTAGAATTGATAATCTGCAAAAAGAAGATGCTGGTCGGTATCAGTGCACAGCGACTAACTCACTTGGTTATGCAGACGGCTATGCTGCTTTGTCAATACAAGGTATTGTATTATCCATCGTATCCATGGTAACACTGACAAGATAAACAAACCATGAATTGCTAAAATTGAATTATTTGAACTCATCAAAGTCAAGTGTGTCAATGCTGTTTATTAATCCTTTATTAAGCGCCAAGGTCAATTTTTGTAACCATTCAAAAATTTTAAGCCCGCTTAATTATTTCATAATTTTTCAAAAATGTTGATCAATATAAAATTATGTTCTGATGTTTTTTTTGTCAAAATTATCAAAAATTAATATAGAAAAATTGATAAAAAAAAGGCAAAATTTTGCACCAAAATTTACCGATAAAAAAACTATGGCATTCAAAGATGGGTATCTTAAACATTAAAAGTGGCTAAGTCACCACATATAAACAATCGATTTATTTGACGCGTAATGTGCGGTCACATGGGATCCACATCTAATACGACACCGAGTGATGATCGGTGATATAACTTTTTTGCCATATATGTGGCGACTAAACTGATAAAATATGAAAAAAATTATATTCACCAAATAAAAAAATGAATGTTTGATATTTGGGGTTGTGTAACTAACCAATAGACTTGTACTCTGGTGTAAAGTCTTCTTTACTATCAAATTATAGCATGTTTTAACAATATTACTGTCTTGATTTCTTCAGCGCTACCCAAAGTTCAGATCAATATACGCACTAGGATACAGACGGTACCAATTAACGAGGCTGTGACGTTTGATTGCCAAGCAACTGGCGAACCCAAACCCATAGTTCGGTGGAGCAAGTTAGATGGAGACTTACCATCCAGCGTTATCATAACAGGGGGTGTTTTAAAAATACGCAACGTAAGGACGAGCGATGCTGGTACTTATAAATGTACGGCGACTAATGTTGCCGGGAGCGTCAATTCACAGGTTGTTCTCTATGTACAAGGTATGACTCTCCTATTTTCAAAGCTCTCCTGTAATGAAAAACGGGAAAAAGTGTAATCATTTTAAAAAGTGCTATTCTCATTGGCAGTGATGTAATTAAATTTGGCAGTGATGTCATTGAAGTGTGCGATGATGTAATTAAATTTGGCAGTGATGTCATTGAAGTGTGCAATGATGTAATTAAATTTAGCAGTGATGTCACTGAAGTGTCCGATGATGTAATTAAATTTAGCAATGATGTCACTGAAGTGTGCGATGATGTAATTAAATTTGGGGGTGAAGTGATTGAAGTTGGCAGTGAATCTCATCAAAAGAAATGAACAAGTCTCACACAATGTTTATGACCCATAATCTGAAGTCAATAACAACATTTTGCTGCATTTCTTGTTAACATCTTTGAAATAACTTATCTGAACTCATCTTTTGTATGAACCAGTGTTTGTCACTAAAGTCAAAGAGTCTACATGGCCTGAAAAAGTGAAGTCCCTGTTTTTATGTTGTTAACCCAAAAGAAAAATACATAAACAAAAAATAAAAATGGAAAAATGCACACTGAGGTAATGTGTAGTTCTGATGACACACAAGAGAAATTTGTCACTATAAATATTTGTCATATTCAACATTTTTAGCTTTTGTAATTTTTACAAATTCGAAGAGCTGGCTTGCAGGGCCAACATGTTCGTAAAACCTGTGTAAAGTGTAAAGTTCTAGACTAGGCCTTGAACCCAAGTGTCTGCTTTAGTTTTAAACTCAGTATGCAACACTATATGGTAGTTTTTAACAACCTTACCCTCATTCAATGTTGAGGCTGATAATTTTTTTACGAATCCCAAGAAGTTTATTGCCTGAACAGTCCATTTGTTAAAAAAGCAAGATTTCATGACATTACATGATTGTTAATTACCATATTTAATTCTCACTATAGTTATACTTCTTGATTAAAGACAAGTTTTGAGTTCTCAGGCATATTTGCTGCTTTCTGCGTTACTGGGTATGCCCCCAGCAAACAGTGGGAGGGGGGGGGTTAAACAAGTTGGTTGTGAATTTGACTGCAATTTGTTTCACAAATTAAAGTTGTATAATTTGTCTTACTTTATTGTGATATATGAATGCAAATTTTATAATCATTTTGTAAAATTTCAAGGGTGGCGTGGATACAATACAGTATCAACATATTCAATACAAAACTGAAGCTGATATAGTAAAATTAAAAATTAAAACTCTGTATTCTTGCTGACTGGAGATCAACCAGTCTTTGCATACGTGGTAACTAGAACTAGTCTATTCACAAAATATGTGTTGTTACAGTGATTCGTGACAGATATGTATAAAACATGTTCAGCTGAAATGTTAATTGTCCAACTAACCATCACTCTCTTATTCTACCATAGCTGCGCCACAAGTAACGGTTACACCCGAGGTCCGGACTACAGCAGTTGGATCATCTGCCCGATTTACTTGTCTAGCTACTGGGTTACCAGCACCGGATATTTACTGGTACAAAATAGCTGGAGATCTACCTCTCAATCATAGAGTAGAACATGGGGTGTTGCACATTCCTCAGGTTGCTAGGGGCGATGCTGGATCATATGTCTGCAGGGCTTCTAACAGACAAGGTCATGTTGAGTTCACAGCAAGGCTTAACGTTGGAGGTATGACATTTAAGATGATGTACTATCAAATGATTCATCATTGAAAGCTGTTGTCATTTGTGAAACGTTTTTTTTTTTTCAATGTTGGTCATGTGACTGTTTCCACCTTTACAAAATGCCGAAATTATTTGTTTCTGTTTCTCTCATGTACATTATTTCTAAATTTAATTTGTTTTATTTGTCATATATTTTTTTTCTTGCTGTATTTCAAAAATGATTCCCTACTTTGTGCAGAATCCTGTTTCTTACATCAGTTTCCGAGCACTCAGAGATGCTTACTTAACTTTTGATATTGAAATATCCTTCAAACCGGAAACCACAGATGGTAAGCTAATCTGTTTGTATGTTATTAATATCATAGTTTATATACTCAGGTACTTCTGACAGCTTTATGAGTATTTGTCAGCAATTTACGATCAAGCTAGAAATCCACTCTGTGAAGGAATGTCTATTTGTTGTTATTAAATTAGCAATACTGTAAACCTCTTTATTTTCATGTGAGACAAATTTATGTTTGTAAAAACACTCCATGCAGTAATCAGGTGAATGGCAAAGACAAATTTATTGAGAATAACAGCTTACAGACACAAACAAGTACTACAAAACTAATAAAATTACAATTCAATAAACTATAAACTACAAATTCTACCCACCAAGACAGCACATGCCCCCCCCCCCCCCCGAGCAATGGATTCCGCGATCAGAATGAAGGAGGGGAAAAACCTGCATGAGGCCGCCCGACCTTGAAATGGGGGCAGGATGAAATTCAATGCCCAAACGAGGGAACACTGCTGCTAGTGGAGCAGAGGTGACCCCCATGAAATAAAGAGACCTGAAAAATTAATAATTAAATAAAGGGTTAGTAAGGGTGACTCAAACAGACTAAGCTAAGGAGTGGTGCAGAGGGAATGGATGTTCACGATCTGCATGGTCTGCTCAAAAATAAGGTAACTAAATTGTGAAATTCTCACGACCCAGTGAACATGAACTGAGCGACGCAGGGGGAAGTAGTAACCTGGAAATTTATGTGAATTTCAGGAGTCAGGGAAAATCATGAAATTCTGTAACAGTGAATATTTCTGGGGTATCCTATAACAAAGTGTGTCAATGACTTTCACAAATTTTGTCTTCATGTTTGACAAAAATCATCAAATTCCTAAAATTCTCAGCAGGAAAAATTAAGCAAATCAAATCCCACCACTGTAGCAATTGAGTAAAAATCCTCCAAATATATACAAGTAAAACAATATAAACAATAACATTTTTAAAAATAAAAATTATGCATCTATGGTATTTCAGAAAACCAGAATTGACCTGGGCAGGATGATTATTTAAAAATCCGAACGCAACGAAAAACGATTTTCTCATTGCAGGTATGTTGATTTACAATGGACAGACAGTTGGACAAAATGTACAGGTATCTGGTGATTTCCTGTCATTTGGAATGTCAAATGGACGAGCAGAATTTCGTTATAACATGGGATCGGGTGCAGCCATCATCCGTAGTGCCGCACCTTTGGAATTAGGGCAGTGGCACACGGTTGTACTTCACCGTAACCGAATACAGGGATCCATGATAGTTGACGGACAGGTTCCTGTTAATGGCACATCGCTGGGAAGATTCCAGGGACTAGATCTTACGGATAATCTCTATTTAGGTGGTTTCCCGGAGGATGCTGTTATCGCCAAGGCATCTGGATTCACAAAAGGATTTATTGGTAACTGTATACAATTTTTGAACCATTATATAATAAATAGTCTTTATTTGGACAAAGTCTTGACTTATCAATAGGTTGTGCATCAAATATCATTTCTTGAACAAGTTGCGACCATTTTTGTTCAAGTTGGTACAAATATGATTTGGTTCAGTTAAATTTTATCATAGAACTCGTTTGTATACAAACAAAACATATTGCTAAGACACAAATACTGAATATCACTGAGTTAATTTGTATAATTAACTTTCTATTTTGCATGTGAAGAAAACGTGTTAAGATACAACTTTTGAATAGTAATGAGTTAATTTGCATAATTAATTATGTAATGTGTTCGTTCATCTTCTGCAGGTTGTGTGAGTCGTCTAAAGATCAGCGGTTTACCAGTCGACATAGGCAGTAGTGCTAAATCTGTGGTTGGTGTGTTAGATTGTCCCGTATGTCAACATGCTCCTTGTCAAAATGGTGGCACATGTAGAGAAGCCAGTACTGAGTATGGATATCGATGTTCCTGCCCAGCAGGTTACACAGGCAGAACTTGTCAAGATATTGGCGAGAGCTGTTACCCAGGTGAGAAACCTTCTGTTTTTATAGTAGATAAACTTAGAACTGTTACCCAGATGAGAAACCTTCTGTTCTTTAGTGGATAAACTGAGAGCTGTTACCCAGGTGAGCAACCTTCAGTTCTGCAGTGGATAAACTGAGAGCTGTTACCTAGGTGAGCATCCTTCTGTTCTGTAGTGGATAAACTGAGAGCTGTTACCCAGGTGAGCAACCTTCAGTTCTGCAGTGGATAAACTGAGAGCTGTTACCTAGGTGAGCATCCTTCTGTTCTGTAGTGGATAAACTGAGAGATGTTACCCAGATGAGCATCCTTCTGTTCTGTAGTGGATAAACTGAGAGCTGTTACCCAGGTGAGCAACCTTCTGTTCTGTAGTGGATAAACTGAGAGCTGTTACCCAGGTGAGTAACCTTCTGTTCTGTAGTGGATAAACTGAGAGCTGTTACCCAGGTGAGCATCCTTCTGTTCTGTAGTGGATAAACTGAGAACTGTTACCCAGGTGAGCAACCTTCTGTTCTGTAGTGGATAAACTGAGAGCTGTTACCCAGGTGAGTAACCTTCAGTTCTGCAGTGGATAAACTGAGAGCTGTTACCTAGGTGAGCATCCTTCTGTTCTGTAGTGGATAAACTGAGAGCTGTTACCCAGGTGAGTAACCTTCTGTTCTGTAGTGGATAAACTGAGAACTGTTACCTAGGTGAGCAACCTTCTGTTCTGTAGTGGATAAACTGAGAGCTGTTACCCAGGTGAGTAACCTTCAGTTCTGCAGTGGATAAACTGAGAGCTGTTACCTAGGTGAGCATCCTTCTGTTCTGTAGTGGATAAACTGAGAGCTGTTACCCAGGTGAGTAACCTTCTGTTCTGTAGTGGATAAACTGAGAACTGTTACCTAGGTGAGCAACCTTCAGTTCTGCAGTGGATAAACTGAGAGCTGTTACCTAGGTGAGCATCCTTCTGTTCTGTAGTGGATAAACTGAGAGCTGTTACCCAGGTGAGTAACCTTCTGTTCTGTAGTGGATAAACTGCGAGCTGTTACCTAGGTGAGCATCCTTCTGTTCTGTAGTGGATAAACTGAGAGCTGTTACCTAGGTGAGCATCCTTCTGTTCTGTAGTGGATAAACTGAGAGCTGTTACCTAGGTGAGCATCCTTCTGTTCTGTAGTGGATAAACTGAGAGCTGTTACCCAGGTGAGCAACCTTCAGTTTTTTAGTGGATAAACTGAGAGCTGTTACCTAGGTGAGCATCCTTCTGTTCTGTAGTGGATAAACTGAGAGCTGTTACCTAGGTGAGCATCCTTCTGTTCTGTAGTGGATAAACTGAGAGCTGTTACCTAGGTGAGCATCCTTCTGTTCTGTAGTTGATAAACTGAGAGCTGTTACCCAGGCGAGTAACCTTCAGTTCTGCAGTGGATAAACTGAGAGCTGTTACCTAGGTGAGCATCCTTCAGTTCTGCAGTGGATAAACTGAGAGCTGTTACCTAGGTCAGCAACCTTCAGTTCTGCAGTGGATAAACTGAGAGCTGTTAAAAAACAGGTTTATCGACCACATCGCCATCCGCTGAACAGATCAGAATGTGAACTCAACATGCGACGTATGCATACACTGGATTCTGTCTTTTTTTCACATAAAAGGTAGACATGAACTTGAAAACTATATCTGTAATTTCCTCTAGGTGTGTGTGGTGCTGGTCGATGTGTGAAGAATGCTGGTCCTAGTGGATTTCACTGTATATGTCCAATAGGAACCGTGGGCGAAAGATGTGAAACTGGTATGTAATACATCTTGCAACGTCTGAAATACCACACTTTTTTTTAGCTACTACAAACATTATTTTCAATTTTACTTCTTCATATTTATAAGTAAAAGCCATGATTTGAAAACCTGGATATACTGCTATCCTGAAACAAACTTGTTATCTTCTGTACTTCTTATTATTAACATTTTTATGTTTAACCTGTTCTTGACTTGTATAAAAAGTAATCTATTTTAATACAGTTGGTTGGTCTCAGAAGGTCAAAGGTCAACATTTTAATGTCAAGTGAATGTATTTTTGTCGTGAGAGAAATTTACATACTGTTTTTTTTTTCCAATTTTATTCTAGTTGATTTCAATGTAGTATATTTCATTGTAGTGACTACTTATCTATTTGTTAACAGTACTCTATCGTAATATTTGACCCTTTGAGTGCCGATGTTACCTTTTGTCACAATCACTAATTTTGTAATTACAATTTTTCAAAATTTTTTGTTCAAGTCAATTTGATCTAAAATTATCAAAAAAAATACATAAAAGCAGAGAAAAAGACGTGCCAAAATTTGGGCGGGCATTCAAAGGGTTAAAAGTTAATGAAAATAGTTTAAAGTGATTAACATTAAAGGGATACTCAAACTGTGCAAATGTGTCGGGAGCCTTCACATAGACATGAATAATATTGTCTGGGTTTTAGAGATCAGCTCAAATACCTTGTGCACATTAACAAGTAATGAAATACTGAACCAAATAACGAGACGATAAAGTACTAGTTACAATCATCAGCCATGTTTATCCCTTCACAGCTGTTTTGTGTTTCAATGTACTTCGAATATCGTGTTGTATGCGCGATATGCTATAGGTGAAGTCTGATGAGAACTGGGAAACAATATCAGATATTGGTTCAGTGTTAGTCACAGAGATTTTAAAATTGATTGCTATGACTCCTGATATGGAATCAAAACATTGCAAACATATCAAAACACTTTATGATACATATTTAATGTAATATTAATATATACGTGTATTGTACTTACAATATAAAAACTGTCTGGCACGATCAATATTTAGCAATCTATAGAATGAATTCTATGTTACAAGCTTTGCATATAATAATTGTACCTCCATCTACACATCGCCATGAAAGTCAAATTGCAGAAACATAAATTTAAAAATATAGTCAGATTCTTTGAACTTGTGCTCAACAATGTTTACCTTCACAGTATAAAGAATTATTGTAGATTGCCAGCATTGCAGAGGGTGATATACTTTGCAAATGAAAAAAGTCTGAAATAATTTTCCTGCAAATATACCTCAGAAACTTTTTTATGCATTTTCTGAACTGATTCATAAAGTGGATTGTTTGTATTGTTGCTGTAGAAAACTTATCTAGAAGAGTTTTTTAATTCTATGTGAAAATACGTTCAAATAGTTGTTCACTGAAAACTGGTATGTCTTTTCTCGCATCAGTTTGATTGGTTGTTATGGCAACTCTACCTCACATCAGCATCCCATGCTCAGAAGAACAGCTTGAAATACCCGATTCTGTGTATTAAATGACTTGCTATTTATCATCAGTCTGGTTCTATAGCAAGTACATACCTTACAGTCATTGAGTGGTAGATACACTTAGGATGAAACTTGAACCATCACAGATCAATGTCTGGGTGATTAGTTGTACTGTAAACCGTTTTAATTTTACAACAGAGAATTTTTGCAAATTTCATGATTCAGTAAAAATCAGGAAAATTTTCACAGTGACAATTTTTCTGGTGTCCTGCAACTACAATTCTCATTGACTTCAGCAACACTTTGTCTTTACAAGTACCATGCAATACTGAAATATGGAGATTTTTTAGAAGTCAACATTTTCACAGTATTCACTAAAATTTCTAGCCTTCAAAATAAATATTAATATATATAAATATACATTGTATCACATCAGATCAGCAAAAGATCCAAATAACCATGAATGTAGCTATTAAAATGCTAATCCTGGGAAATCTCAAATGGGACAAACAGCAAAACTCTGGCCATTGCATGCATGCATGTGTGTTAGTGTCTGGTCACAATCTTGAAAGAAAAAAAAAACAATTTGCACAATTCTTCAATAATATCTACCTTTACCAAACATTAATGAATTGGCTGAAAATAGTTTGAAGACTGTTTTGAATTTAGATCATTTAAAATATTAGTCTGGTGACACAAGATCTCAAAATATAAAGCAAACTAAGCTCTTGAATAATCAACTTTAACCCTCTGAGTGCTGATGTCAATTTCAAACTCCATCCACAAAATATTTCCATTTATAGTCTGCTCTTTTCCACGAAAACATTTGACGAAATTTTCAAATTTTTTTGATCAAAAAATAAAAGCAATGTCACATTTTGTCTGTTCGATCCAAAATCAAGATTAAATTTACTGAAAGTTACAGAAAATATGAACAAACTTGCTTCATTTTGAGCGGGAAAACAATTTTGTGCTCAAAGGGTTAATAGTTATTTCTTAATTATGCTCATTTAATAATTTAAAATCAGATGACTGAAATATGATAATTATACTCAATATATGAAGATAACACAGGTTATTAAATATCACAATTAATTTCTATATTTTGAAATTATATTATAGATAATAGTGTGTTAGTGACAGTGGCACATAAACGAGGAAATACATATACTCATAACAAGTGATTGTTTATATAATTATGAAATATATTGGTAAAAAAACAAGAATTTAAGAGTTATGTATCTGAGAATGGCAACTCTCCTTGTTTTATTCATTGCAAAAATCACAATTTTTTAATTTGAGCAAATTTGTTTGAATTTTATGAATTTCATTGTGATTTTTCAGTGTAACTTTCAAATTTCTGCATTCAAAATTAATGAAAATGTATCTCTCGTGACATCACAATGATTTAAGCAAATATGACTTGTATTTATTTTGTTACAGCACACTTTCGAGATGTAAGGTGTTAGGCTAACAAACCAAAAAAAAATATACTGTAGAATACTTTATTTTCACTTGAAATTTATTTTCACTATTTTCGCTGATGGAATGATTCAGTAAAAATAAAATGCAGCAAATATACCTTTTTTCCTATATTTTACATTCAACAAAAAATCAGTAAAGATAAATTCCACATAACACCCAAAAAGTCTTTTTCAGTGAAAATTAATTCCAGCGAAAATAAAGTATTTTACAGTATATCTTTAAGCCAAAAAATCAAAACAAAAATGTATCAAGACTAAAATCTAATGTTTTTTTTTGCCTTAGCAACAGTTGCCCCACAAATATGATTATTCATTTTTGGGCACAAATAAGAAAGTTTTCTTTTACAACAAGTAAAAATTTGTCATCCAGCGCCATCTTAAACAGCTGTTAATATCTTAGCAACAAGTGGTTCAGACAAATCTCATAGCGCTGCAGAATACACCACGTGTTCCTATACTCTACTGAATTGTTATTATGTCATTCAAATTAAATTATAATATGTAATATTTCAGAATCAACATGGAAATCATGTAGTACTTCAAGGTGAGAACTTCAGTCTTAAAAATTATTGTATTTATCAAGGATTTAAAAGAATTAGTGTGTGCAACTTTTATAATGGAGTGATATACGATGAAGACCTCACAAAAAGTGAACTATGTTTGAAAGTGATCGCATCCCGTGCACGACAGTCATACATAATTTGATTAATAGCATAACAGAATCAGTAGCTGCTTGAAAATGCTTGATCAGAGAGATTATTGGCAAATTCAAAAACTTAAAATACGTGTATTATATGATTAGTTAAATCCCATTATGTTCAGTTATTTCATCAAACTCACTAATTTTAATAAGGAATTCTGGAAATGTAGGTTTCTCTCGCAATTTTGTGACCATATCGTATTTTGTGTGCCTCGGTCACAGCTTGTAGTCTTCATTGCATATCACTTGTATGATGTAATTCTTTTTTTTACTTCATATATTTGTCTCTTTTTTTTAAACTTCTTATGAAATTCAATGTTTGTTTTTAAGTTCTGCTCTAAAAAAAATATGATCTATGTTTTTTGTATTGTTGAATATCAAGCTGAATTATTTTTAAGCAATTTTATTCAGAGTTCTAAACTCAATTTTAAATTAATTACAGCTAATTAAGCGTTGGTCATGTTGTTAAGTTTACTTTTCTGTGGTAATGATTTAATTTTTTTATCCAATTTTTATTTTTTATCTAAATTTTTGATATACTTTTCTGAAACATTTGTTATTTTCTTGGGCAAATTATTTTCAAGGGCTAACTTTCTGATTTTTACATTATTTACGAATATTTTTACATACACTCTCATTCCAAGTCATGTTGTGGATGTTTTATACGTAAATATTACCTCTTTAATATTAGTTATCACAAAAATGCTAATATTTGCAACTTTTTTTTATGCCTACCTGAATAAAATTATAGTTTTAGCAATTATTAGTTTATCTTATTCCAAGATTCGTGTTGATTTTACTTCTCTCTTACCAGATGATCTGAAATAAAACACAGCCCCTCTCCCATCCCAGATGAACACTCCAAGACATCTCTCATTTCTCACTAGGTGTCATTCCCATGAGTCCCCCTCCCCCTTTCCAGGTGACCTCCCTTCTATACTCTACTTTAGTTATCCAAACAAATTACGCAACAAGCATGAAATGTGGCATGTGTAATCGCACATGTGAATAATTTACATGCAAATAGATAGCAATTATCTGCTGATTTATAAAACACAGATAATTTTTCATTCTAAGCAGAAAATCCCCCCTCCTCCACTGAGTTGAATCCCTATCATGTGACCTGCCCCTCCTGAGTCTCAGATTATCCCAGACACTTTAACTTTCCAGATATCCACCTTCCCTGACCTTTGTCTCCCCTCCCACAAATGAGTCTTTCCTCCTCCCCTTGCAGATGATCTTTTGGGAACTGCTACCCTGATACTGAGAGTTTTATATATGAGGCATCCCCATCATGTGACGCGTTCACCTCTCTCCCATCTGATGATTCCACTGGTACTCTTTTTTTTCCTCCCAGATGACCCTTGGGCACTTCTTCCCCCATCAGATAACCCTACACAGTCTTGTCTGCTCTTCCAGATGTCCTCATGACTTTCTACCCTCCCAGGTGACCCTCACCCAGGCCGTACTTTCCTTACAGATGACCTCAGTCCCTTCTATTATCCCAGATGATATCCTGAGTCTTATGGGGCATTATTAATATGACCCTCACCTACATTGGGGGGTGCACTATTAGATTAATCACACTGGGGAATAACAACGATCACAATTATCATAATTTTATAAAATGACTCAAAGTAACCAAATACATTTGCTCTAAACAAATCGTCAAGCCAGGTCAGAGTGATCTCTGATGGTACATAGCATCTAGACATATGTGGTGCAACATGTGACCCATCTACCATCCGTCGCTGATTGTTGGATCAGCTAGCCTGGTCTGAAAGGATGAATAGCCAAGTGACCAGTGAAGTTTTATCGTAAAAGCCAAACATCAATAATGCATGAGGAACAGGCAAGCAGGGCAGTATGTTGTATCTTGTTGTTTTCTTATTTGATATCTCTTGTTTCTATTTTGTCATTTTCCTTTCATTTTCATCAGTAACATATCCTTTATTGTAAATTTTTTAGTTTTCTTTTCCCAGTGTAACATCTTTCCTCTGTTTATTCCCATTCCAAAATCCTAGCCGGAGAAGATCCACCATCCGTCCCTCTTGCCAGGTGAGTTTCATATTTTCTGTAGTACCATCCATTTCTCATTCACATAATCTCTCCTCTGTGATCTACCTTGCACAAACTCTGACTTTGCTCTGCCTTAATAACAGGAAAGAACGTACGTCACCGCCACACCGCAGAACCACTTCATTATCGCAAGCATTCTGCCTCGTGTGCTCAATCTGTATTGCTGCGTTTTTTGTCTCCTGACAACATAATACTCCCTGCTTGCTCATTTCATGGGTGTGTGGTCAGTGAACGCAAACATGGAACGTCAGTCAAGACTATGGTCACTGCTGATGCTCACCACGACATACTAGCTGCGAAAGATACCATTGGTACTATTGTAGTGATTGGTCAAATCATTATTCAAACTTGTCAAATCATTTTTATCATTATCAGTACAGTAATAGATTCACTTTGTTGTGATTATTGGTTGGTTATAACACCATTCACAATATGAGCTGTCCATGACTGTATTTATATTTCTAATGTTGAAAACATATTGATACCATATTTGGTAGTGATTTGCATAATATTTCCATGGTGCATTGCTTCATCATATGCTGGTGACATAGAAATTTAAGGATGAACCCGGCTTACAAATACTTAAGGAATTTACTGAAAGTCAGCAGATTTAATTTCTGTTGACTGGCTAGTAGAAAGTCTGAAGCCAAAAGTTGGACTTTTTTTTTTTTTTGCATTATGAACCACACTTGTATTTATTTTGACAAATTTTTAAATCAGAGTCGAGTATGATTTAACACTTTAGAAAAATCATAAAGTTCAGGTACTCCGCTCTTTGTATTTACTTTTCGTTATTTATAGCGAATTTGCTTTTAAATTTTCTCTGTTTATACAACATAACAGCCTCTCCCATCCTTAACGACAAATTGCTACCTAATATGGTGGTATATTGCGCTTAGTTCCTAAAGTAGCTTTTCTAGCTTCATTGTGCTTTATTTTAACATTGTTTTAAGCTTAAATTTGTAACATCTTATTCTTATTGTGTGTTTGCTGCTCTTCTTAGTTTTGGGAATTTTTTTTTTTTTGAAATGCAGATAATGTGACTTGTAAGATAATGAAAGTTTAAAATGCCATACTGTACTGTGTGGTTTTATATTTAACTTCATTCTGATGGGTGGCGGTGGTCGTTGCGTTGCGTTGTGTTGCGTCGTGTTTGATATTAAACTCGACATGTGCAACTCATGTAAAATATATTGTTCACAGGCACTTTGAACACGCGCTATGTGACGATCACCGCCACCCTCTAACTCAAATAACATGTTGTCATTTCGTCCGAAGTACAAATAACACAAATGTCACCAATAAAAAAAATATTAATGCTACCATCATGGGCATATGACCCCTTAACCACATCTCCCTAACCAACCACTAGAGGGCGTTCTTTATTTCAAGGTGGCTGTTAATACTCGCTAATCATGTAAATTCAGTACATCTTTTACATGTCAAACTTCACTTCACTAAGGATAACCATGGTAACCCATTCTTGGCATCGTCAACATAGCAGTCTTCAGAGTTTATCACGGCTTACATTGACTCCAGTGATTTCATCTTCTAAATTTATTTGCAAAAAATATTGTATGTTTTCTTCCATATTTTGGAGTGTCGTATTATACAGATTATGTTGAATATGGTAGTTAACTGCCCCATCATAGGTATAGGCTATGCTTGAAGGGCAGTGGTCATCGTGCAGTGCATGTTAAAATTTCATGTAAACAAACAACGTATTTTACACACATTGTTTTATGATGCTATGGGTCCCATATCGAACAGGATGCGGCACGACGACTGCCGCCCTTTAACGTTACTTTCATCCCAGTTTGCAAATTTACGAAAAAAATAATTCCCAGAATAAGTGAAAAAACATGTGTTCAAATACAACTTTAGTTTGCTTAAATTCTGCATTACCGGTATATTAATTTGACGGTGTATTTATTGGCCAGGGAAGGTACGGTATCTCACAGATTTCAATTTGCAAAGTGAGAATGCAGAGTTAATGTGGCACCCGAGATCATTCCCGTTAGGGATTATTATTCATTATGTGGAATAGTTGAGAATTCACATTCGGAATTACTGTGGGTCGCAGTATGTGAACAATGTCATTTATATGCGTATGGGATTCATATCAATCTAATAAACTACAAAACACACATGTGCTTTGAATAATAATACTGTGAAATACTTTATTTTAGCTGGAATTAATTTTCGCTAAAAAGATTTTTTTGGTTTTTTGTTTGGAATTTATTTTCACTGATTTTTGATGAGTTAAACGTGAGACAAAGGAAAAAAAGTATATTTGCTGGATTTTATTTTTACTGAAGCATCACTTCAGCGAAACTAGCGAAAATATAATTCCAAGCGGAAATAAAGTATTCTACAGTAGTACATTCAGACACAATTGTATGGTTCATTATGTCCTTAAACGAATTATTGATGTTTTCCAATTAAAAGTGACATATTAATAGTTTTCTTGAATAACTATTCACTTAAAATCACACATCCCATTTACATCAGAATACCTACCTCAGGGGCTTACCATTAATTTAATTGGGGTAAAATCATCTTCTTATATACATTTGGTGTATATCAGAATTAGGGAGTAGCCATTAATTTAATTGGGGTCAAATCATCCCATATGTACAGGCATTATAAAGTCATTGAATTCCAGTGAAAATTCAGAATATATTGATTTGTACAGTAACAGAAACCCTCTCCAACAACAGTATATTATAATGATATCAACATGTCTGTCCTTGCTGAAATGAAAAAAGATTATTAGATGGCATTATGATTGAGCATTCACGATACACCATTATTTATCATGATACAAATGATTTACCTCAAGAGGAATTCCAAAATGGAGATCTAGCTAAAAGTAGTCACCTGATTGACCATCATTAAATTTGATTGATTATTTTGTTACTAGAGTTACGATCAGAGTAGCTATGCCAATATTGATTATTGGTATTTCCATAATCAATATCATATTTGCAGTGAGCAGCTTTGGCACTAAACAGCCTCATTTTGAAATCTGAAAATAGAGTGCCCTCAACCATAGACAATTTTAGGGTCTATGCCTCAACCTATCATGTAGCCATAAGAATAACTGATTGTGAATCTGTTTGGTTTTAGGTATGAGAATACAGGAGCCTGCTTTTAAAGGAAATTCCTACATTGCGTATTCTGGTATGCAGGAGGCAATGAGAAACATACACCTCAGTGTTATGTTCTATGCAAGAAGTCTGACAGATGGCTTGATTTTATTTAATGGTCAGTTATATAGTGGAAGAGGAGATTTCATATCACTAGCGATAAAAGATGGTGTTGTAGAGTTGAGATATGATAGCGGTTCAGGTACGACTGTAGTTATTAGTATACATGTAACTTGTCAAGTCTTGTAACAGTATGAGAAATGTACACCGTGTACAAGTCATACAGTGATGTTCAGCGTCCTGCTTACCCCTGATTATGGTGAAAAAAATGTCACTGAATCTGCTACTGTGTACTGTGCCTAAAATTATTTCTAATTCTGTAATATCAAAAAGCATGTTTTGAACAATCATCGCCAGTTAAAAAAATACCTGTTTGCCTGTTATCCATCTGTCTGCACATCATTTTAGACACTCCACAGTCAACATTTTTACAAACCTATTTAGTTTTGATTGTAAATTATTACCAAATCACCGTAAATAATCAACAAAAATATACTATACAAGTCTATAGATACAGACTAGCTACTGACTGCTATTTTCCTTCTTGATAAAGTTTTTAGGTGGGCACAACATTTTATCTTCTGGCTAAAATCCTGTTCCCGTGTAACCTGTGGTGTATCTAGTTTGTTGTTGATTTGATCATAAGTTGTGGCCATCATTATTTGCTGATCAGTATTTTTTCTGTGTAGGAACTGCTATAATCAGAAGTAACCAGAATATCACCATGGATACCTGGCACACAATAGTAGCCACACGGAAAGAACAAGAGGGCTCTTTGAGCGTTAACAATGAAGAGGATGTCGTAGGTCGTTCCCCTGGTGATTCCAGAGGTCTGAATCTTCGCTTACCCCTATATATTGGTGGGCATGAAGAGTATGGTGATTTGCCGAGTCGTGTTGCCGTGCAAGGCGGATTAATTGGCTGTATTAGTGAGGTGAGGATTAGGAAAGTTTAGTTACATTTTACAAAATCTATCACATTCTTGCTAACAATAGATGGGTTTTGAGTTCTACTGGGCCTGCTACCGACAGATGGGGTTGCAGGGTCAATTTTACAACCAGGTGCATATTTGCCCCAGTTCTTAACAAGTTGATTATATACTTGTATGTTGTGCCTCAGATATAGCTTAGTTAGAAAATCAAAATGAAATACGCTATATTTTATCCAACTGCATTGTACATGTATAAACGTAAAACATGTTTTCTATATATATTTTATGGTAAGTTTGTAAATTTTCAAAAGTAATGTGGATGAATGCAATACAGAATCAACACGTTTAGAACAAAACTACAGATGGTATATGAAATATTTGTCTAATACTGTGTATTTCTACTGACAGCAAGTATTACACTGATTCAACCCCCCTTTCAAGCGCATGGTTGCTAAGCAACCAGGAAACCGGAAATGAGTCTATTATACATATTTCTTCATCTGACCATAGATAGTACCATCTTCAGTTTTGTTAATTTGCTTGTATCTTCTCACAGTGTTTAAAATTAAATGTAAGAGATATTAAATAGTTTTACAGTATCCCTCAAGAACTCTGGCATCTATCTGGTCAGTCCCAGCTTCCTGTTGATTTAAACAAAGAAAACATACAACAAATTTTGAAAGTTCAATATAATGTAAGAAATTGAATATGAAAACTGTATTCCCACATGTTACTTTAGGCCTAGAAAAATAAATATTTCAGGTTGATTTTTATTTACTAATTTCGTCACTGTGCAGCACCCTCTGATGAATTGATTAAACCTCAAACGTGTTGCGACTTCACAGTGAATTATTTTTAGTATCATATTTGAAATAGCGCACTAGATGGAAGATGTCGGACGGCAAAATTGGGGTCTGTTAAAATGTTTGTTGGTTCAGTTGGGCAATGTGTAGACCAAAACATCGCCCACTATTTGAAACACCGCCCATGGGCAGTGTTTATGATGGGCGGGGTATCGGCCAAATCAAACATTTCAGCAAAAAAAAAAAAAAACGAGTTTAGTAGCAAGTTTTATCTCATGCTTTACTAAATCCTTATAGAAAATATGATTATTTAATTCTTCAGGTTGAAATCGACACCGTTCCTCTAGACCTAATTGGTTCATCATTGTCAAGTGCTAACATTGAAAACTGTGAAGATTCATTGCCATGTGAAAGAGACCCTTGTAAAAATGGTGGCACATGTTCACCAGTGAGTGCATCGGAATATGAGTGTTTATGTACAGTAGGAAAGTTCACAGGTTAGTAACGTGCAGTTGTGTCAAAAAAAATTTTGGTCAGACGAAAAGAATCATGTGTTCACTATGTGCTGTAATGCTATTGGTTAGCAATAAACTTGATTGATGCTCACAGAATGGAATAAATTTCCAATGCTCAAAAAGTGTACAAGTTTGCTTCTTGTGAGATCTTATTGCATACACCGTTCATCAATCTATTCATGCACTGTTATCCACATCTAAACGCATGTGTTCTCTCGGTATTGTGAAACACTCATCGATCCATTGGTGAAACGTTATCTGTGGCTAAACGTATATATTCTCTTGTAGGTCGGTATTGTGAAACACCCATCAATCCATGTGTGGATCGTGATCCGTGTCTAAACGGTGGATCATGTCAACCGATTGGAGCAGATTATAAATGCAATTGTGCATTACGTTATGGTGGTAAAAACTGTGAAGGCAGTAAGTGGCAGATTTTCAGTCCAGTAGAAATTTGACCGTATTCATAAGAGACAGGTTTTTTTCAACATCCTTGTCTTACTTGCTTACAAACTCAATAAAATTGAATATTCATTTATTGTCAGTACATAATTTCTATAGAAATTCTAACTTTCTATAAAACTATATCTTAGATCGTATAATTCTATTCGCTAATTTCACTGGTGTTCCAATGCATTATTTCATGGAATGTTAATTTCTTTTGTTCTAGCCGCGGTATTTGAGTATGGTGCAAGTTTTAACTCTGATGGTTTTCTTGCATATCCAAGACATATAGTACCACGGGGGTATGTATCATTCATTGTTATTTCTTCTTTCAGTTAACCTTAAAGTTGCATTCCCACTCCACTCCCAACTCCTGATCAATATATACACCATTGAATTTGAGGTTGTGGATGGGTGATAAAAAATTAACTGCAGAATATGAATCAAAAATAAACTAGACAATAGGCACTGAGTTAGGGGGCTTTGTTTGTCGTACATTGTAGACATGTTTGTCTAAGGCATAAGACCCTCCAGTACTCTCAAAATAAATTTGGCGGAAAAAGTGAGACCAGAATATCTACTTTTAATATATCATATTTTTGAGCTAAACAGTGTATTTGAACACATTTTTCAGCTTGTTCTAGAAGTGATGGTTTTACAAATTTGCAAAGCGGGAATTCAACTTTGGGAAGCCATAGTTAATAGACGAAATTTAAGTTCCCTGAACTTTCAATGTTTGAATAAAAATTGAATAAAATCATCTTCTAATTTTTTCACCATCAATTCCTTCTTTCCATCACAAATTCAAAAATAGACCTGTTTATAGTCTGCACTTTTCTTAAGAACATTGGGACAAAAATAGCCAAATTTTTTGGGTAAAAACTGAAAATTGACTCAAACTATGTCTGTTGGCTCCAAAATTAGGGTTCATTTCCAGAAATATTGGAAAATATAAGAAATAAGTGCAGACAAATTTCAAATTTGACGTCTGGTGGTGGAAAGTCTAAACAGTAGGTGGGTTTGCATTCACAATAGGTATTTAAGTTTGTTATGTAACTAGCAAGAATAACATACTTCATGAATTTGGTTTCTTACAGTAAAGGTAGTACAGAAGAAATAATTACTTTGACTTTTAAAACATCGACAGAAAATGGCCTTATATTCTGGCAGGGGCAGGTAAGATTTATATTGATATATTACTATTATTGGGGCAATACTTGCCGTGTAATCTATTGCACTAAGATAGGAGTTCAGGCTCTTGCATACTACATGTTAAAATTGCTTTCATTTTCCAATGGCGGTAATATACCCAAACGTAAATATGTTAATTGTGTGTTTTAATATTCATGAAGTGCGCATTTTATTCAAATATATATATACAGAAAGAAGGCATCTCTGGTAGATCACATGACTTTGTTGCCCTTGGTGTAAGAGATACTTTATTAGAATTTAGGTAAGTAGAATATAATTCTTACTGTCATCTCCCCTGAACAAGTTTGGTGGCTGTACTTCTATGGCTTTAGGCGGTAGGGCGATGTTTTGCATCTGTTAAGGGCGTGGCACTGTGTCTGTGTCTGGCATTAGTAAAAGTTGTGATGCTGTGTCTGGCATCTGTTAAGGGTGTGGCACTGTGTCTGTGTCTGGCATCTGTTAAGGGCGTGGCACTGTGTCTGTGTCTGGCATTAGTAAAGGTTGTGATGCTGCGTCTGGCATCTGTTGAGGTTGTTATGATATGTCTGGCATCTGAAGCTAGACTTGAGAAATATTGATGAATTAGAAACCCTTTTTTAGCTCCGCTGTCGACTTTGTCAAGCGGAGCTTTCATATGAGTGATTGTCCGTCGTCGTCCGTGTCAATGTTTTACTTTTTCAACTTCTTCTTGAAAACTACAAGCCTGAATGCTTTGATACTTGGTGTATATGTACCTTGGGTAGACCTCTCTCAGATTTGTTCATTTCATGATGATATCTTCAATTCTCTAATTTTGGTGAATATTTTTGTCATTTTTGGTAAAAAGTGATATTTTCGACTTCTTGTTAAAAACCGCAAGTCCAATTGCTTTGATATTACATATATAGGTACTACATGTGGACCTCTCTCAGATTTGTTCATTTTGTAATGATATCGTCAATTCTCTAATTTTGGTGAATATTTTTGTCATTTTTGGTAAAAAGTGATATTTTTTTCTTGTTAAAAACCACAATCATTTATGGTGAAAAATGATA